AATGGAAAAAACTAAAAAAAAAAAAAAAAAAAAAAAAAGTATAAAATAATATAAATAGTTATAATTTAAATTTCTAATTTTTATTAAAAATTTACATTTTTTTTTAAATACATTTTATCAAAAAGCAAAAAATGAAATACATTTTTTTTTTTTTAACTTTAAGGTTTATACAATGTACAGGAAAATCATAATTATATATATATATATATATATATATATATATATATATATATAAAGAATAAAACAATAAACATAAAAAATATTAACATTTTGATTATGATACATTTAAAATATTAATTAATAAATTTTAATAGGAGTAATCTAATGATTTCATATACTTTAGACATTTCTTTTTTGGTTTTTACGTCAATAATAAAAAAAAAAAAGTTTACAAAAAATCTTTTTTTAAGTTATAGTTATTTTTGTTTTTATTTTTTTTTTTATTATTTTGTTTTTTTTTTTTTTTTTTTTTTTTAATACGGCTTATGAACTTATTGCATATATATATATATATATATATATATACATTTTAATTTTTATTATATATTTTTTTTTCACGAATACAATATTTTTAATGATAGGAATACATCATTTTCTAAAACAAATTATTGAATGCAAAATTGTATAAAATATTATTATAAAAAAAAGTGAAATTTTATTTTTTTTTTTTTATAATGTAAAATATAAATTTCTTTATAGTTTTTTATATATATATATTATATTTTTTGTATTTATTTTTCAATTATTATAAAAAAATGTTTTTATGTATAGGCTTTTTTTTTAATAAAAATACTGAAGCATATACATGTATTTTTACTTATTAATTTATTGCTAATTTTTAAATTATTTTAAACTCATTTTAAAATATATGTAAAATTATAATACTATAAACTTGTATATATATATATATATTTAAGTAAATAATACCATAATTTTTCACTCATTCTAAGTTGTGTGTAATGAACTTAAAACATTCTTTTTATTACAACTTAAATATTAAGTGTTATTACTTTTTTTTATATTATGGCTCATATAATTAATTAATTCTTGAATATTTTTTATCTCAGTCTTTTTTTTAATTTTATTTTTAAATGAATTATTTTTTTTTTCTGTCTTATTTTCGATAGACATGAAATTATCATTATTTTCTATATCTACAATTTTCGATTTTTCTTCTTCATAATCCTCAAATGTATTAATTTTTTCAATTTTTATGCTATTTTCATTTTTATAATTGTTATATTTTTGAAATTCTGTTAACTCGATTTCTTTATTTTCACTCAAACTATTCATATATTTATATTCATCATTATTTATGCTGTATTCTTTCAAAAAAATATTTGTTACATCTTTATTTGAGCTATTTAGTTCAACATTTTCAGTACTGTTATTTCTTATATTATCATTTTTATATAAGGTATCTTCTTTTAATATATTGTATTCAATTTTTATTTTACTACTTTCATCAAAATTACTGTTATTTAACATGTTATTTTCTTCAAAAATTTTATCTTCTTTTCCATTGTCATTTATCTCTTCATAGTTTCCACTAAAATAACTAGATATATTAAAAATTATATTATTTTCAATTACATCATCTAATTCTTCATTTTCAATTTTTTCGTTTTCTCCATTATCATCTTTTTCTTTTGTATATATATTGCTTATTTCTATTTCTTTATTTATTTTATTAGTTAAATTATTTGAATCAAATGTAGTTGAATCATTTTCAATAATTTCATCAGTATATAAAATATCTTCATCTTCCTTTCTATTTTTTATATATTCGTAATTATTGTTTGAAGTAGCATAATTTAGAAAATTATTTTCTTCTTCTATTTTTGTTTGATTTAAATATTCTTTTTTCTTAATTTCATTTGTTAATTCATAACTATTTTCATGTTCTTTTTTATTATCATCATTTATTTTTATGTATTTGTTTATGTCTTCTGTTTCATTATAATTACCTTCACTTTTTTTTTCTTCATTTTTCTTGGTATAACTTACCCCAATATTTACATAATTATTAATGCTATGTTCCTTATCTTCAAAGAACATATCTTTTATTTCATCTTTCTTTTCTTCTTTTTCTGTTGCTTCTGGTTGTTCGTTTTCATAGCTATTCTTTTTTTCAAATACACATTCTTTTTCATCTTTCTCTATTTCTACCTCTATTTGTAGCTCTTTTTCTTCCCCTATTTCTTTTTCATTTTTTCCTTGTTCTTTGTATACACATTCATTTTCATTATAATCATTATTCATGTTTGTATCTTCTTTTTTAACTATATTTTTTTCATAATTCTTAAATGAATTATCACAAATTTCATTTAGAGAATCAACACATTTATTGAATGGAGGAATGACTTTATCTATCTTTAAAAAATGTTCATTAGGATAATTTTCCTTTCCTGACTTACATACATAATTATAAGTATACATATCTTCATCAAGATTATCATGTATAATACTTTCATAAATCTCATTTATATTTATATTACATAAATTATCTATATCTATATTTTTTTTATTATTATATTCTTCTTTATAATTGGTTTTTTTTTCGCAATTATATTGTTCTAATGGACTATTAACATTTTTATCAGAAAACATCATATGTGCATATTCCTTAAATAAATGAAAAATATGAAGAATAAAAGTATTAATTTTGATAGAAATAATAAATTTTTAAAAATTAGACAAAAAAAAAAAAAAAAAATAGAAAAATAAATATAAATATATCTACTTTTTTTTTAATATATTTTTCTATTTCAATATACATGTAATTTGATCACGTATTTTTCTTTTTCATCAATTTCTTCTTTTTTTAGTAGCAAATTTTTGAATACTTTATATATACATTGATAATATTCTTGCTCATATAAAAATATATCTGCAAAATAGCTATTGTAAAGGTCCTTTTTTCTCTCTAATGATTCCATTTCTAGTTCTTTTTTTTTATTAAATTCTTTGTATAATTCTTCTTTTTCTTTCTAAAAGTATACATAGATAAATAGATGTAGATATGAAAAAATAAATTTGAAATTAAAAGATATTTTGCTTTTTTTTAATGTGTAATATGTAATTTACATTTAATTCTTTTTTTTTTATTATTTTTTTTACGTTTAGTAGGTATCTATTAACATAATATGCTTTATTTTTTTTTTCAAAAGATAACTTCAATTCCTATAAATTTATATAAGATATTGATTGACTTATCTTAAATTAGTCTTTATTTTAAAACATAATAAAATATTTTTTTACATTTTTAAAATCTTTTAACTTCTTTAGTTTTTTTTTATATTTATCTATTAGATAAGAACATTTTATTTGAATTAATTGATCAGAACTATGCTTTAATGACATTTTTATTCGATTTTTCTTTTTTTAATTTTCTAAAAACCTCTATATATCATTAAATTATATATTAACAGTCTTTATATTTTTCTATGATAAAATCATAAATAATTCTTTTATGCATAAAATACATATCATAATAATGGTATGTTATTAATATATTAAAAAAAAAATTATGATAATACATATAATATATATATATTTTACAAAATGTGTCTTATAAAATATAAAACAAAAAGAATTAGTTATATAAAGAGTTTAGAGTAATTTTTTTTTTTTTTTTTTTTATAATATTTTTTATTGAATGGAAATGTAAATATTTTAATTTTGAACAATTGCATTATTTATTTATATATTATACACCTTATATAATTCTTATTTACATAATTTAATTAATTTTTTCTAACTTGCATATTATTAAAAATAAAATTTTGGATTTTCTATCACAAATTATCAATCATAAATTAAAGAAAAAAAAAAAAAAAAATAAAA